GGGACTTCGCTGCTTCAGCACATGCAGTGCACTGACGGACAAATTGCTCCACATCGTCGTCAACGTTAGGCCAGTAGATGTAACTTCGGGCCAGAGACTTCATTCGGTCCATTCCTGGGTGTCCACGATGCAGTTGACGAACGATCCGCTTTCGAAACTTTGATGGGACGACGATTCGATCGCCGAACATAACGCAGTTGTCGACAACTTGAAGTCCATCTCGTCTGGCGAAGAACTTCTTGACATCAGGATCAGCAACTTGCTTCGCATTTGCTGGCCAACCTTCGTTAAGGAAATTCACCACTTGCTGAAGAACTGGATCCTTTCGCGTCTCAGCCACAATCATCTGGTGCGTGACTGGAATTGCTTTTGCTTCAGATTCGACGCACACGGCGGCTATGACGTAATCCTCATCTGGTCTATGCTGCGATGACATTAGCCGGGATAGAAAATCTGCATAGCCAAAATTCGTCGATGAAACGTGTTGGATGTCGAAATGGTACAGCAGAAGTGTCAAAGCCCAGCGCTGCAAACGGTTTGCTGTGTAAACAGGAATACCTTTCTTTGAGCCGAAAACCTTGAGTAGCGGTTGATGATCGGTTTGCAGGAGGAAGTGTCGTCCATACAGCATTTTGTGGAAACGGGTGACAGCGAATATCAGGGCCAATGCTTCCTTCTCCACTTGTGCGTAGTTCATCTCTGCTGGGGTCAGTGAGCGCGAGGCGTGCGCAATTGCCTTCACTTCACCGGTCGGGAATCGATGCATGATGACAGCGCCAAGGCCGTACTTCGATGCATCTGCTGCAACAACGATTTCCTTGGACGGGTCGTAGTGTGTAAGCAGCAGGTCGGAAAGTAAAATGACCTTGAGCTGCTCGAAAGACTTCTGGCAATCCTTGGTCCAGTTCCAGCGTGCAACTTTCTTGAGGAGGCTGTCCAGAAGAGCCCTGAGTTGCTTCATCTGCTTAACGAATCTACCATAGTAGTTGACAGCACCGAGGTAGGAACGGAGTTGCTGGACATCCTTCGGAGACTGCATCTTGGAAATGGCTTCTGTTTTTGAAGGGTCAGGACGAATACCGTCCTTATCCACGATGTGTCCGAGAAACTTGATCTGGGAGAGTGCGAAACGAGATTTTTCGAGGCGTAGGTGAAAGCCATACTCACGGATCTGCTCGAGAACAGCGTAGAGACTGCAATCGTGTTCCTGCTTGGTGCGACCAGCGATGAGGATGTCGTCCAAATACGGCTTGACTCAAGCGCCGGTTGCCGACTTGACTCCGGGGGGTAGTCGGTTATACTGGAACAGTCCGCGATGCGTGTTGACCGTGAGTAGTATTCTACTGGTCGTTTCGAGCAATATGCAGGACGTGCGTCAGGCTTGAGGTACAACTTCACTTGCGCTTTTGTACATCTACCCAGCGTGCTTCGAAAAACTTCCGGAAACTGTTGCTTGAGTTGATTGGTGAACTGATCAGAACGTTGGTGTACGACGTTGACCAAGCTGCTTATCGGCACAGACCACAAATCGAACAGATCCATAGTTTCGATTCCTAGAACGTTGAGTTCAGCGCTGCTTGAGATGAAAATGCGACCAGTCTTGTTAACATTCTTGATGGTGATCTCGGTCTGGAACTCAGCGAGAAGGTTGAGATTGCCACCAGAAGCTGTAACTGCAGATTCTTCCGTCGGTTGAGTGGGTGGCTGTCCGATGCTGATCCATGTTTCTTCTGAGATTATGGTGATGTCGGACGCCGAGTCGTGTTGAAGTTTGACTGCTACACCATTGAGCTCGACCGGGATGAACTTCCGCTTGCTTCCGATGTTGCGAACCGTGTAGATGCTTTTTGTCTTCACGTTCTCTTTGGATTTGGCCTGTTTGAACGGTTTCGACGGCGCATTCTTGTTGCTGCTGCAATAACCTTCCTTGTGTCCTTGTTGCTTGCATTTGGAACAGGTGTGCGAAACGAACGGACACTCACGAACATAGTGCTGGTCACCACACTTCCAAAATGGCGTTTTCGGCACTTTTTGGTTTTTTTTTTTTTTTTGAGGCAGGATTATTCTGGTTGCGAGAAACAATCTTCTCACTGCCAGCAGTCGGATTTCCCCGATTTTCCAGGTTTTCAATCTGCTGCTGCTGCCTCGTGATGAGATTCGTTAGCTGCAGGATGGTGTTCCGAAGATCCTCGTCAGACATTTTCTTGCTTGAGGTTTCTTGCTTCGAGGTTCGAGGTGCTTCCAAAATTTTCCTCGTCGCCAATTGTTATATCCGTAACCAAGGCCAACAAGTAAAACAAGCTGTTGTTAAGAGCTACTATTTATTACGTCTATCTTGGTTGGTGGTCGGATAAAGAATCAATCTCTAACTTATGACAGTCAGGCAAGGCCTACTACATTTATGAACAGCCCCAAAGCGATATCTTCATTTAAATTCAAAGGATTTAAAGGATTTCTCTAATGGCGATTACGTGACGTTTTGCTTCAGTGTGTATGATATAATTTTGTGTGAAAATCACCAAAAATCAAGTTATCCTCCTGATTATCAACAAAAAGCTTCATATAAGCGAAATAAATTGAAAAAAAAAACTAAAAGAGACTAGACAAATATGTCCAAAACATTCGAAAAGACGTTGCGTAAGAGCTTTTGGACAGCGTCAGATGAAAAGCCTGGCACTAGCGTAAGATTAACGAAATCGCGGAGTTAATTCATCACATCTAATTGCAAAAGTATACTAAAAGGAACATGTAAATACATGCAAACATAAACCAACTTCCTTAAGAAAAAAAATGTTTTGATTTCAATATCAAACTGTGTTGTTACTTTCTGGGCCACCCATCGTAGAACTCAATGTCATTGCTGCTAGAAGTTGATACGTTTACGAAATACAACTTCAAAACCAACTATCTGTTTATAAGCAATTTGAGCAACACAGCAAGAAAAACGCGAATGTTTATACAGATGAACGTAACATCATAAACCCGTGACCGCTGACACACCGCGAAAAAGTCACGTTCACCACGAAATCGCGATACCCCTTCGATCAGCGCAGTACTAGATTACGATGGTTCGCGTTTAATAGATCAAACGTCCATTAATCATACCGCCGCCGCCGGAGAAATACAATCTTACGCATCTTCCCATCATTAGCAGCAGAAACAAAAGCGAAAGGTAGAATTGCACGCAGGCTGGCTGGCTGATGCAGGGAGAGATGCGTCATGCCCGGCTTAGTACAAATAACAAAGAATCCACATCCGTCAAAACGTCGACCAAACAAAAACAATCGACAAAACGATGGTGGCGAGAATGACGCCTTGCAGTCCCATAAATTGTCGTTCTCTCTGTCCTTAGAGAATTTAACACCCTGCCATTATATGCTATTAGGGGAAGGCATACGTGTGCAGGCAAATATGCAAATATTTTTTGCTCGCATCCAACATTTAATCCGAATGCGTTTCTTCACAATTCCAACGCGTGCATTCTCCCTCACAGAACCTATAGCGGCAACCGATGCTGTGTTTGTTTTCGTTTTCTTGCACATATTGGCATAGCTGGACAACTTAATGTACGCGTAGTACACACACAAGCACACGGCCTAAGCGATGGATGACGCCGACGAGAGTGAGAGTGACTAAGAACCCGGCCTGCGCTGGCGCAGAGGTTCAGGGTCGCATGGAAGTTCGCCGAGAGCGCCCAGGGAATTTCAAGATCAACTGCAACGTGTGCATTTCCGTAGGGAATTCACGCTCGCTTGCCGTGTATTTCGAAATCTGAAGAAGCAATGACCTTAGGTTTACGGGATTCAACAAAGCCCACTTACCTCCAAATTACCCGAATGGAAATCTGAAACGAAAAACATAAAGAAACGTCATTAGCGATATAAATCGGTTGAATAAAATCTAATTGTTTCCATTGTGCTTGTGGAAAGTCATCAAAAAGATCCATGAGAACGAAAGGTAGATGAGTAATCAAGCAAATCGATAAACCACTCATAAAACGGTAATCAAAATTGAGCTCAACACGATCGCCAATCTAGTACTGCGCGATATCTATCTTATGAAAATGTCAAATCAAATCGATTCGAATTGGAGTTTTTTGACCTGGCTTGCTTTGCGATCGCTTACCGTCCGGTGTGTTTTTCCGGACAAACAAACAGATGGACACGCCCAAGACTTCTTCCCCCTCCCGGTTGTTTTCCTTTTCTTTTCGTCATAATCTCCATGACGTGCCGTGCTCTAACACGCATATCATGCCAAACAATCCCCGTTTTTCTTTTCGAATCAACACGCTGCTCAACTAACGGTTAATGGTTGGAATTCTTCGCCAATTTTTGCTCCGTTTTTCCATCTCTTCATCGGCGCCGACGGCGTCATCTTCCACCACCACGTTTACTCCAATCACCATCCGTCCGTCCGTGCTCTCCTCCTCGGGCGTTGAGGTTATGCATGCATTGGTTATGTTTCCAACGGCGAGCAGACGCGTTTGATGTCTAGCGCGGACAACCGCGAACACGTGGCTTACCGAGCAGCCATATTTGCTTAATCCAACTGACAAATTGACCGTCCACAAGCGTTTGAAAACCGCTAAAACCAAAGCCAACTGCGTGCGAAAAATATTGTTCATATTTAAGTGTACTTACGCCGATCAATGGACTGGAAATTGCGGTCTGCCATTTTATGCCAATTAAGGCCTGGATCGATGAGCAAACGAAAGTTAAGTTAAGGCACCGCTTTTCACTTTCGTAACCATCACGGAAGAATTTTCCTCGAATGACCACCGCCGTCGCGCCGCCTTTTCCATCGCAGTAGGTGTGTCCGAATGGCGTGCATCCAGTGCACACTTGGCTGATTTCCATCCATCACGATTGCGCAATATGCGAATGCCTGTACTTTTATCTACACTATTACTTTCGTTTGCAGTCACTCGAGAGTGACCATAGTTTTACACTGACCCACATTTCTCACACACGCTCCCTTTTTCCCTCTTTACATTGTTACAGATGGCCCTCCCCACCTCCCTGGACAAGGATTCGATTCGGGAAGCGTACGAGGACGTCCGGTCCAACCTGACCGACAACGAGTGGGCGGTGTTCAAATTTGACGGTCTCAAAATCGTCTGCTCGGAGAAGGGTATGGGTTTCGACGAGTTTTGCGCCCAGTTCGCGGACAACGAACGGGCCTTCGGCTACATTCGGATACAGATGGGCGACGAGATGTCCAAGCGCAGCAAGTTCATGTTCGTCACCTGGATCGGACCCGAGGTCGGAGTGATGCAGCGGGCCAAAATGTCTACCGATAAGTCGATTATTAAGGATGTGATCAATGTAAGTTGCACAAAGCCCCTTCAAATTTTACACACTGAACCAATTCGTTTTCATTCGCAGAACTTTGCCGTGGAACTACAGGTGGAATCGAGCAACGATCTAGACCTAATGATGTTCAAAGAACACCTGAACAAAGCCGGCGGAGCAAACTACGGAACCGGCATTCGCGAACTGTAGAGAACCGCTTGTTTAGGATTATCAACCCTCAACCTTCCCCCTATTCTTTGTCCTGTGAAATTCTGCAACGAAACAATCACACACACTCCCACTAAAACTAGAAGTAAGAACAGTTGCAGAAGTGGTCTTAACCGCCCCTTCCCTATCCCCTCATTCCTATTTATGCGTCCCCCCCCCCCCCCTTTCGTTTATTTATTCGAAATTGTGATTTTGAAAAACACTTTCAGAAAGCTTGTATTGCAAAATCTTCTTTTGGAAGTCTGTTTACAGATCCGAATAACTATAACCCCCCTCCTACACTCCCCTCCATCATAGCGATGATGACACCATAATCAATGAGTATAAGCATGAAATGAATATTGGAAAACAAAAACTGCAATATTATCATACTAATTGATCTAGTTATTAAGTATAATGCAAAAGAAAAAGAAAACAACTGCTATTGGATCGCTATTTCGCCCGGTGGTCGTGAGCGTGTCAGCATAATAAGGCCCAATGCGAACGAGAAAACAATGTTAGTTAACGCGTATATAAATACATAATGGAATCGTAACAAGAAGAAGGAGAGAAGGAGAGAAAAAACACAAACAAATGCAATCCCCCAAAATGACGGCGAAAAAGAAAGCAAACACCGAAATCAGATTTCTTTTTTGAACTTATTTTTTATCAGTTGTATAGATATGGAGCATTGAAGCAAAACAACGATTGTGTGTGTGCTAGTAAGGGCAAGTTGCGAAGAGTAATGCGTCGTGATTTTGACGGAATAAATATACCCGGAAAATTTTCAAAAAATTAAAATACGTCGGTGCGTTTGCATTTCGTCTAAGATAGCACCAAAACTCCTTGGGTATCCGTCGATTTCAATAACAGTGGCATTCTGATTCGCGCAATAACATCCGACTCATCCTGCAATGTTATAAGAGGTTATAACAGAGTGGGGTGCCGCATCGAAATCGAAATCTCTATGATTCTATGATCTATGAAAATCATCCTTCATTTCTCGCATATAAATCATTCATCTTCTTTCCATATAAACAGCATGCACGCATCTCAAAACAGCAATACAAAGTCTCACCTGCATCTTAGATAGATTCTGCCTCCCTCAACAGTAGTTTAAAAGTGAAAATTCATGGACTTGCTGATAAATGCATACATTTTGGCGTTCATTTTGGTATGTTCAGAAAATATTATAATACGTTGCGATGCGATGCAACAGGCGATCAAGCTGGTCGATGTGCTCCTCCAGTGAGCTGCTTGCCAAAATGATGTCTTCCAGGTAACAGCTCAAATCCTCCAAGCTCGCAACCGTCCTGTCAACAATTCACCAGGTGCTATCTTGACTCCCGTTTATAAACGATTGAACTGGGAAATACCCTTGTGCGTGTTAATTGTCAGCATCTTCCTCGAATCCTTGCAGACATCTACCAGAAGATAGGCATCCGATGAATGGATCTGAGCTTGAGCTTGATTGACCACCCACGGTTGCTACTCTGTTACTGCCAGATCAGCTGTAATTACACAGAGAACCAATAGACGATGCTTGGGACTAGCAATCATCCTCAATTTGTAAAAACTGGTGATCTTAAATTAGGTAATACCAGCGCCGGTGCGCCCGAACACAGGTCAAGAAAGGAATGGGAAGGATTGTCTTGACATGACACTCGCTTTGATGGAAGCCGAGAACACCTCTGCACTTCCACGAGGAATCACTGGGATGTTGGATAAGAGGGTTGGGTTTGCAGCAGGGTTCGTTTTGGTAAACAATAAGCTGAATTGATGTCCTAACGATCATATAACGCGAAGGAGCTTGTACTAAACCCACGGTCTTCTGCTCAGTAAGCAAAAACGTTTGCCACTAGGCAGACGAGCACCTTTTTAATCACCGAGTTGCTGTTATTACCATTTAGTCATATTAACAAATAAAACGATTGACGAATCTTGAATGTGGATGGGCCTGAGATTAGACTCATGATGTTCTGCTCAGTAAGCGAAAACGGTTGCTCTAAGGCCACCGAGCCCCTCATATCACATATTACCGTTGCTCAAATTTGTGTATCCATTCAAACCCGGAACCAACGACAACAACGAGTTTCGCTAAATACACGATACACAAGCGATTTTACCATAAATCTCTTTGATATGTAAGGACCTGGGACCGCGTTTTTCTGCTCAGTAAGCAGGCCACTGTAACCGACGATCTTTCAAATCCGAAAACTAAAAACTACGAAAAAGTACTTAGGCCTTCATTAAGTTCCACTTTCACGCGACGTTCAATGACATGGTCCTATCCAGGATTACATCTGAAAAATCCAAATCTGGTCAACGCCCACCTAAACCTGTTCTAATCCACCTGAAATGACTAACGAATGGAAGACTTTGACTACCGATAGGCATCCGATAAATGGATATGTGTGAAAATCTTCTTTTCGGCCAGTTTAGCGAAAATATCTTGAGGCAAGGGCAACGGAATGGTGATTAGGCTCCAGCGCATCATTCACTCCAGTGGAATAGTCTTACTCTGCCGTTGGGCTTGCGTACGGACCGACTCAGAATAAGAGCCCGGTGATATGAATCCTCTTTGTAGACGGTCCAATTCAGCTTCAACTTTCTCAGCGGAAGCTTACGATACTGGTCGCTTTTGACGAAAAATCGGCTTGACACCAGGTGCTACCACCCCAGAGTGACAACCCTGGTGTGCATCGTTATACCAACAATCAATACGAAACTAACGATTTTAAATTGGCTCACTACTTGACTAGCCTATTGGTCCCAAGCAAACGATTAACGCACCCCATTCTAGTCGAAATTCTAGTACTACGCTATATTTGTTTTGATTCGCTATGAAATTTTGACAGATAAAATGAGGGGTTATTGGTTGTTCTTATGTTTCGAGAGGTGCATCGATTAGCTTGGGACGGAAGAGAGTACCAGAGCTGAGCCAAAAAGTTGAGCACGTTATTTCGGGACCTTCTAGTCTTAGAGTTACCTCTATGGTTATACGCCGTCAGCTGTCACTGCGCTTGGCGAGGGAGAAAAAATATTGTTTTTTTAAGTGACAAGAACTGTATGAAGACATAAAATAAAGAGTTTCGATTATTAGCATGAAAAGTAGTTTTTAAAGTTATTGAAAGCACAACTTATTTGGCGACGAGGATCGCCGCTAAAGAATCGTCATCGAAAACCGGGAGGAATATGGCAGAAGGCGGAGAAAATGACGATTTTCCGGGGTTCTAGGAGGTCTCCTCACAGCAGCTGTTTAGGCAAATGGTGGTGCAAAACAAGCAGTTTTTGCATATTCTGGAGCGTCTTTTCATTTAGCAGGCGGCATCAGTAGCTCATCAAAAGCGGAGCGCTGAACAGATTGTCGAATCACTGTCATCGGCAATCAATGTCCAACAAATACGAAGACCTTTTCAGAGCAGACGGTAGAGAGCTGGACGACGCTGCGAAAATATGTCTACTGTTGCGCAGTTTGAGCGTACCAGTTCATGAGAAGTTTGCAAACTACCTCCGACCGCAACATCCACGCGAATTTACCTTCTATCAAGTAGTGCAGAAGCGGAAGCGGAACAGCAGCGGTAGCGGAAAAGCCCGATCTGAGTAAGCCAACTTGTCGGATTGAAAACTAGTTAGAACCTGTAAGAACCAAATCGACTTCGGTTAGGCATCTTGAAGTCATTTGTGACAACTGTCAAACTTTCCATTTTCGTTCCGCTTCCGCCCACATTGCGTTTAGGTCTTTACGATTGCCTACGGGTAGTCAAAAGTGATGCGGATAATTACGTCACATGATGCGGATAATTACGTCACAACCGAAAGCCGGCTCGACTAATGCATTCGTTCCTCGTTCACCCTGCTGGCAGTGTGGGGCAATGCATTTTGTCAAAGATTGTTCCTACACAAACCACATCCGCGAACGTGGCTGGGACACAAAGAAGGCTACTGCAGTTGTTTCAACCGAACGGTCAAAAACGACGGTGACAACAAACAAGCAACTCAACAACAGCAGCAGTTGCAGGCGCCGGTGGTGTAGTTGTAAGCGTGACTACTTTCTAACACCCCAATGGGTCTGGGTTCAATCCCAGCCGAGGTCGGTGGGATTTTTCTGAGGCATAAAAATCTCTGGTCACGTCTTCCTTCGGAAGGGAAGTAAAGCCGTTGGTCCCGGCCCATGTGTGTTATGAATGGGTACGATATCCTACGCAGATGTGGAAGCTGCCTTCCTTGCACATTCGATTGCCGTCAATGGATGGCAATCGATGTCCGTCGGTGATTGGCACTAGATTGCGGAACAGAGACCGACGTTAAATAAAGGAAAAAAAAAAAAAGAACAGCAGCAGAAGAAAACCAAGAAGAAGCAAAGTCAAGCAAACAGGATCCATTCGGTAAACCAAGTTCACAGTAAGCGGAAGTATACGTATCAACCCGGATCAACGTGAAGCTTCAACTTGACTGCGGCTCGGACATTACCGTTATCTCCGAGCAAAACTGGAGGAAATGTGGATCACATACTCTTTCGCGAACGGAACACAGGGCAACAACTGCATCGGGCTAGCAGTTGCCTCTACCAGGAGAGTTTGCTTGTGAAATGCAGATTGGTACAGAGCAGCAACACGGAACCTGTGTAAAGGGTCCGAACTTGCTCGGTCTGGACTTCATGAATGCTTTCGATGTTTGGACGAAGCCGTTGACTACTATCTGTAGTCAGGTAAATTGTTCCAATTCATTCGATTCAGCCAACTGGTACCTCACCCGGTTTCCCGAAGATTTTAGCGATTCCCTCGGACATTGCACGAAAACCAAGGTGAAACTCTACCTGAAACCCGAAGCGCACCCGGTTTTCAGGCTGAAACGACCGGTACCATTCCAAAAGTTGAAGAAGAATTAGACAGATTGCAAAGGCTAAACATCATCCAGCCGGTAGATTTTTATTACGGGGCAACCCCAATTGTCTCGGTTAGGAAGCCGGGAGGAAAAATTCGAGTCTGCGCCGACTACTCTACAGGGTTGAACGCGGTACTCGAACCATCACTTTCCACTACCAACACCCGAAGACATTTTCTCCAAGCTCTCGGGAAGCAAAGTGTTCAGCATTATTGATTTATCAGATGCCTATCTCCAAGTCGAGTTAGACGATCAATTCAACCACATGCCCCCTGGTGT